GGGAAATTTTAAATCTGGAGGTAGAACTGGAGTCTTCAAAAAATTACTGATACTTATTTGCTTATTCCAGTTTTCACTACATATCACTTGAATGTGTTTTCCTGGTAAATGCATGTAAGTGCTCTGCTAAGTGCAGTCTTGGCTTCCTGAAAGAGAAATCAGAGACTTGCCATCTTCAGCAATGTGTAGCCATCACCCTGTGTGAGCTGTTGCAATTGAAGCTATCCCATATGTGCCCTAGCGTTTGCTTTCTGCTTTTCATTTTACTTCATGCTTGATATGACTAAACTGTCATATCAACAGGATAGGCTTTGGTCTTTTTCTGCCATGCAGTGCTTTCCTGCTATGTTAGCATTCTTTTCTTTAAAAAGCTAGCATTGATGTAGTTCAAATGGAACTGAAGATACCAAGGTGGCAGTTAAAAATGAGAAAAAATTATTCTGATTCAAATGTGAGTGACTGGTAAGTTACCTAGCCTTGTCCTCAAAAACACTTTAGAATAATATCCACAAGGTTTTCCCATTTTCCCCAAAGCAGTAGGAAGTGTGTCTTCATTTAAGAGATACTCGGTGTAAAGCCTTGTGTTGCCTTTAACTTTGGTAATTTGGCACTCATTTTACAGCTTTTGCATCGGGTTTTGTACAACTTGCTAAGTTCTTGCAGGCTCTGGGGCAGAGTGCCAGAGGAGTTTTCCTGTAGATGGGTGAACAGCTGCTCTCTCAGGCTTGAGGTTGAAGGAGTGTGGTTTGCTGCTGTTACATGTATGAAAAGGAGGCTTGTCTTGCAGGAAGTCTACAACCTTCAGGACAGAAATGCAATTCAGCAGGACTGTATCCTCTCTCTGTCTCATTTCATGAAATGAATGCTCAGCGATGGCCTGGGGCTAGAGCAACATTAAAACTTGGTTTAGCTACCCATATTTTTTTATTAAATTCTTAAAAAAAATATTACTGGTAGTCAATGCTGGTTAAATATTAAGGTATAATCTCATTTTTATAATATTATATAAGAGTTTCAGAAGAGTGGTTTTTTAACATTTTGGAGTTGAGCTAATGTCTAACCCACATCTTTCTTGCCAAATCTGCAAAATCTATCAAAAGATGCTGGATTTCATAGCTGGCTGTATATATCAGTACAGTTGGGCTGCTGAGGAGAGGCCTGCTTTTGAGCAATAGTGGACACTGGCACACTGTTCAGATATTTAGCAGAGACTAAGAAACATTTGGCTTGAAATTCATGTACTTGGGGAAGGAAAAAGGCTTACTGATTGGTGAGAGCTTTTTAACTTTATGATTTTTATGTTCCTGCTTTTAACAATAGGCTTGCAAGTTAAGGGAATTCAGAGAGCATGACTTAGCCCCACATCACCTTTCATATTAAGATTTTTCTTCCAAGATGACAGATTTTCTTCCAGTTAAATAGTTATATCTTGCCTTGATTATGAAAGAAACAGATTTTGGATTAAAGATTTGCAGGTGTTTGTTTGTGTTATGGGTTTTTTCCCACTTAAAATTTTATTTTAGCCTTTCAAAACCCAAATTCCCTGTTTAATGAGAAAACAAAAAAGGGGAAATTATTTTGATACATGAAAGGCTACTGTGTATATATAGTGAAAATGTTTTGTTTTGCAAAATAATTTCACTTCTAATTTTGAAGATGCAGCTCTTTGTTTTTCTACTGTTACAATTGGGCAGATGGAAAGAAGCACCAGGTTTTGTGCTTCATACAAGTTTGCTCTTTTCCTACAGGTGCTCTCCCTCTGATCGCAGTCTCAGCCTTCCTTTTGACAGCTCACTTGTTGCAAAAATGATTGGGATGTCAGCTGCAGAGGGTTAAGAACACAAATGAAAAAATTATAAGCAGGAGCTGATATAACTTTGGGTGATGAGAAATCTTACAGTAAGACATAGACACCTCTTACCAAACAGGCCTGTGCTAAGCAGCAGGGAAAGGTGTGGGTTCATCTCCAAGCAGGTATTGTTAAGAATTCAAGAGCTAAATATTTTGCATTCTTACTGTACTGTTCTAGTTGACAAATTTAATATAAAGCAATTTTTAATAATATAAATTTGAAAATATAAATGCCATGGGGAAAAAAAAGCTGGATTCAGACAGTATAAGGTCTTTGCCAAGCAGTGCTACAGCAGTGATTAACCTTCCTTGAAAGAAAGGAGCTATTGTTTCTCCCCGCTCCATTGATGCTGGGCTTGGTGAAGAAAGGTTTGTGTTCCTGAAACCCTGCTTTTTTTCAGCTGTATCAGTTGGTCCAATGAAAACATTTCACCTCTCCCTATAGGGCTTGTCTCTCTGGAGTTGCTGTTTCTGGTTTCATCTGACTGACGTGGATCGTTCTCCTGTCTTCCTTATTTGTGTAGAACGACCTGAAAGGTCTAATGCACCTAATGATTCTGTTCTACATTTCTGTGACCCCCGGGGAGTGGAACATGCTCCTTTGCCTTGTGTAACTGCAGTGGCCGTCAGCACTAGGGAATCCAGCCCAGCCCAAGGGGTCATAGTTACAATCTACAGTACAAGGACTAAAGGAGAGGGAAATGTGATCCCTTCTCATTGTTTCAGTTGCCACACAGTTTCTAATACTTTCCAATTTTAGTCTTTGTCATTTCCCTTTAGTAGGTACATAAGTAAGCTCCCTTTCCTGTTCTAATCTGTCCTTTCTGTATAGTTATGATACAGTTTATGGAATTCTTGAATTGAGACAGAAATTGCATCACTTGCTCACATAAATACATTGACCTCACCCACTGTTGCTGTTTTTTTACGCAGGGGCCCTTGTTTGCCTTCCAATCAAGAAAAACTTATTTGCTAAAAATACCAGAGGAGTCAGGTTAACCTGAATTAAGAGGTAATTAGTCAGCTCAGGAGTTGCACATGCCTTTCCAGCTGCACTTGCTCAAAATCAAACAGGCACAATGTGTTGCCTTTATAATTGATAGGCAGGAACAGACATGGGCAGATTAAACATAATGTAATTAAAGTAAATTACATATTTAGAAGCAAGTAGGGGGAACAATCCAAAGGCTGCTTGGAGGATTGGCATTGCAAAGATATTTTCTGATCTGTTTGTGGCTTCACTGGAACATGAATACAAGCCATTCATTTGAAGGCATGTGGTTAGATTCAAGGAGCTCCAAGAAGTCCAGCATGGCTGTGGGGGTAACACACACATGCAGGATGCACATGCAGGCTAAGCAGTGTGTCAGAAAAGAGCAGGATTATTTTTAGAACCATAGATGGTTGTGTCTCATCCAGGAAGTACAGGGAGGAGATCTCTGGTTGAAGCAGAACATAAGAATGTAATTTTTAATAACTGTGGCACAAAAAACTTGCATTTTACTTTCTTACTAAGCAGAGACTGAGGAGCAAACTCTTTTAAAGGAGCTGTGTTCTGAAGCACATGAAATAATCATGTATATAATATATACATGTATATATAATAATAATCTAAGACCGTAGAATAGGGGTGGTTGTGATTAAAGAAAAAAAAAAAGAGAGACAATGGATTAAGAAACAACTGAGAAGAGTAAATAGCACATGCACATCTAGGCAGGTTTTTAAATATAAGGTCTAAGTTTAGATGCTTAACTCCACAATTAGGCAGTTCAATAACAGGGCCATATTTGTCAGTGTGAATTTTTTACCTTTCAAGAGAACTTGATAGAAAATGGCATTGGCTCAGCACTCCCAGAAAGGAAACTGCATAATTGATGAGTTTGACATTTTTTTGTCTCCAACTAAATTAGGTATCCTACTCAACCAAGAAACCGAGTCCTTGTTCTGTTTCCTTACTCTGCCCAAAACATTTTTAATCCTCCTTACTCTCCGGGGAAAATAAACCATTTGTGCACTTTATTTTCTAACTAGAGTGACTGAATGGGTTTTGTTTTACAATACACCAAAGTTGTGTATTAAAAACTTGGATTAAGATCTTCCTAATCAACCTTCTGTCTTTGAGCTAAATGGAAAAAGCCTCTCCAGCTCCTATTATACAGCATCAATGGTTGTGAAATAGATGCTTCTCTCCAGAGAGTCCAAAGCAATATTAAGGTCTGGGATCCAAAGTGGTTTACTTGTTAAGTGCATCTCTTGTGGTGGTTAGTCAGAAACTGGTTTCCTATTTGTTAATCCAGTTGAGAGAAGAAACTGACAGTGGTGATCATACACCCTCTAGGAAATTATACATTTCTGAAAACACACAGTCCTGCTTTTCTGATTGTTGAAGTGGTTCTTCTGATCAGGATTAACAGTTAACCAATGTTTTTCAGCTAGTATCATTCCCCAGAGATGAGTTAGATTTTTTTCTCGAACAAAACCTAAGCAGCTAAAACTTTTCCACAAAGCATTCTCCAGATCATTAATAGCTTTGTCTTTATTGGGATGGACATGTAAACCTTAATTCTATACCTGCAGTCTCAGAGTTCCAGCTGACAGCAGTGTGAATGTGTGGGAGGTTGGCACTGAGCTGCGATTGCTGAGCACCTGCACTAAGTTGGTTTTATAGAAATAGATGCAAGTTTACAGAACCAGCTGTATTTGGATGTCATTCAAACATCATCTTGGATGCTGAAGACAGATTTAAATTCAGAAACTTTGAGAAATTAGCAGATGTAGTTGAAGACACACTCCTAGCACACATTATTGGCAGCATCAGTGGTATATCATGTTCCTGCTTAAAGGCACAAGTCCCGCGTCTCCCTGTGGACCCATCTTGGGCTTTTGATTGTGTCTCTTAATCTGTCTGAACTGAATTTATATGGCCCTCTGCTAGGCGGAATAGCCACGGCTAGCTGCAGAGTCTTCCTGTGCAGGCAGGCAAGTTTCCGTGCTGGGACAAGGGGGAAGGGTGACACCACACGGCTGGAAACGGGACCGAGGGAAGCGGGGCGGGGCCGGGCGCCTCTTTCCAGAGCCCGGATGGAACACCCAGACTCGGAAGAGGCTTTGAAGGAGGAAGTGTCACACATATACGAAATGGTGAGAAAACACTATTTTCATGTACAGCCATCAGCCTCTCAGAAGCCTCAAAGAGCTTCTTAAGCACTCAATATATTTATGAGCCTTTAAGTTGTCTCGAAGCCTTTGGGAGACTGGCCCTGAGCCTCAGTGGCTTGCTTCTGGTCTCTGCAGCCTACTGTGGACTGGCAGTTCTCTGTTCCCCTTGCCTCCCGTATAAAGGGAAGATCTTTGGAATGTAAGTTGTGCGTTAATCCTATTTTTATTTTTTTATTTATTTTTAAAATGTGCTTTATTTAGCTGAACCAATCTGTGCTACATCTGTTTCTACTTCCTTCATATCCTATCGTAATTCACTGTGTGTCACACAAATCACGAATCACTGAGATATTATTTATAAAGGCTGGTTACTTTTCTAATCAGTTACTTGTCCCTAAGCAAGCCAGGATTTAAATGCTGTCAAGTTTCATTGAGTGTAAAAGTAAGATAAGCAAGTCCCCTCATCTTTGGAGTTTCCTTTTAAAAATAAATGTAAATCAGTGTATGCAAAGATGTCTGAAGAAATTATTTTGTCTAAGGAGATTTAAATTTGGAGTGCTAGATGGAGAAAAACTTACGTAAAGGCTTTGCTGCAAAAGTGGTTTGGCAGGATTGGATTGTAGTAAAAGCCAGAGACACTGGGATATAAAGAGGGATTGTTTGCACTGGAAACTGGAACCAGAATCTAGTAAAAATGAAGAGCGGATATGCATATATGAAACATAGATAAAACCATACAGTTTTCTTCGTTTTAGTGCAGTCATCATTTTGGTGTTGCATAAAATAATTGTATGGCTACATGAACCAAAAGGACTCAGTCTGTGTGCAGAGGTTGCCAGTGGTGTGTACCAGTACTGCCCCCCCCCCCCGCTCCTTCAGGCTTCTGTTTTTCCAGAGACGATTGTTATTTTCCAGTCTGTGTCAGCAAAAAGGAATTTTGTGTGCCCATGCTGTGGATACAATCCTTGGAGTATCAGTTTAACATGTTAGAGTGATAACTGAGATGTGGGTAGTGATCCTGTCACCGAGACTGCGGGAAAACCAGAAACTCTCCAACATCTCTGCTTTGTTAGAGAATCAAAGCAGTACTTCTGGTCAGGATGTTATTTCAGCCAGAATGTCCAATAGAAATTCCTTCTTCCACACATGCCCGGTTTGTGCAGTGAAAATCATTCCATCACAAATGGTTTCTCACCACATATTTCTCATCTTTATACAGATGAATCCCAAATCAATTCACGTTCATTGGTCTTAAATTACACAGATCTTCGTATTTCTGTTTTCTATGGGTTATTGATTCCCTCTGTCTTCGATGCTAATTTGATCGTCATTCTTCGGTTCTCTTGGCGATCTTTTCCCTGACCAGCTGTCTCCTACCGCACCAGGGCGGGTAGTGGTCCTTGATGGTCGCTTGTCTCCTGTGCCCCTTCTGGCTGCTCCCAGTCTGTAGATGTTAAGATCATCAGACCCCCGCCGGTGAACAGCGTCTTTTGAAGAGAAACTTCAATTCCCCTCTCCCTGGGCAAAGGCGAACAAACCCCTGACTAAAGTTACATTAAAAATGTTAGAAGTTGTATAATTTCCAACAATCCCTCCAACTTAAATTGTGTTGCAAAGGCAGTAACTTTTGTCACAAAGTCACAACAACGGCAGAAGGGGACGATGTCTTGTATTTTTAAATCAGCCCTCACAGAAAAGAGCACTTTCAGTTTGAAGTACAGAGCAAATGAGTTAAAAAACACAACGGCCTGCAAATTACCATCAGAAGTGCCTTCTTTGGTAGTATCTTGCAAACCTTTCAGCTCCTTTGCAATACAGGAAAAGCTGGCTTTGGGTAACTAAAGTAGTCATCAGTGCTAACATGCACTCAGTGCTTCTCCCTGACTAACACCTGAGGGAAACTTCTGGGAATACGGTCCCAGTTCTAACTGGTTTATCGGCCCAGATGACTGATACAGGAGATAACATTCAAGGTGTGGTTAGATAATAAGGAAAAAACCACTGAGTGGCTCCCTGCCTTCAGAAGGAGCTATTTCCCCATTTCCATCTCTGATTCTCTGATTCCAGCTGTGTGTCCCTGCTGCTTTCTTTATGATGTCTTATGTGTTCTTGATAAAGCAAGCTGACATACTAACAGCAAATACAAGTAAATATCCTGCTGTTGAATCAGATAAATCTGTGGTCAAAGGAGCCAAAGCCAGTTCAGAGAAATACTTGGCTAGGAATGCACAGCTCCTGGCAAGGCCATTGTTTCAACAGGGCAACAGATGAGCTCCAGACATTATTTCGGTGAGGCACTGATGGGCTCAGCTGCATCACCAAACAGTGCAAGGAGGCTGAGGTAATCCAACACCACTCTTTTTCGTAAAACATTCTCACCATCAGTTTACAGCCATAAGTGAGGAGGCAAGGAGGAGAATGGAACACCTCTCTCACAGTGGAATGCCCTGGAATCATACAAGCTTAATGTAGTCTTCCTCCTCAGTAATGCTGCTAAGACAGCTGAAACAGATCCCACCTTTTCCCTGCCTGTCTGCTGCCACTCCAGTGATGTCCTGGGCCAGCTGCTGTGTAGCTGCTCAGGACTACCTCAGGGAACTGATCTACAGAAAAAAAATGACATTATTTCTCAGGTGTGCCAGGTCATTTTATCCACTTTATACAATAGGGGCACAAACAACAGAAGGGCAGCAAGAGGATGGAAGAAATGGCTGGGAACAGATCTCTCAGGAGTAACATGCCACCAACCCCATCCCAACAAAGGGATGCATGCTGAGTCTTCATCATCTTGCCATTAAACACCACCATTTTAGTGTGGTTGTGCAGCTAAGTAAGCCCCACAGCTGCTATAATTCTCAAGCAGAGCAGATAATGTGGCTGATTAAGGATCAGAGAGAGGTAAGACAGACCCAAGTCAATGACTCCCTGCAGCTCTACTTATACCCCATCCAATAAGAAAGAGTAAATTAAATATTGTGGTATCTTCTGCATTGAATGAGTTAAAGTTCAGGATCGGCAATTATCTACCAAAAAGGATATTATTCTAATAATTCTAATAATCCTATTATTATATTATATCTAATTCTTATTCTTCAATAGATATGGGGGAAAACAAGTGTTCTTGAGAATCTTTTTGAAACTGTATTTTGGCATGAAAACCAGATCTGTGCTCTCAGATGTCTCACTACAGTGCATTTCAGGGTATGTTTGTGTGAGGCTTGTTTTGCTTATGTGAGCAAACTGCAGCCTGTCTTCTGACAGCAAAGGCACTATGCAGTAATATCTTACAGTCCCAGAGAAGTGGATTTGGGATTCTTCCCTTGTGAGTAGCACTACATGGTATATTTCTCTCAAGGTGCCCTACCCTCTGACCTTGGCTCATAGGTGAACAACATGTTGTTAAGATAAATAAGGTAGGTCAGAAGTCAAAGCCCAGTGCCTGCATATCTCTCCAAGTACACAAATAAATGCAGAAGAAATTGCCAAATTATTTTTAAACTACAAAAGTGACTTAAACTAAGATGCTAGGATGGATATTGCAAAACTAGCTGAATGAAGGAATACCAAAAAGTCCATGCACTTGCTTTTTGTGGAGGTAAGAGATAACTGATATATTAATGCTTCAATGGAACTGAAGAAAGTACAGAATAGTATTTACATGGTTTCATCATCTGCAGTCAGAGCTTAGTTTGTGTCCTGCTTTTCCAGTGGCATCAATGGGTTTGTGCAACTTTTATGCATGAATTCCAAGAGCCTTTTTTGGGTGATGTAGATGAAAAAAAACCTTTTCTGCACCAGAAGGCGCAACCACCAGAGAACCTCCCCTAACAAACCTCCTGCCGAGTCCCAAGGCTCCACCACTGCAGTGGTGACTGTCAGACCAGCTAATGGAATCAGGGCAGGTGGCAGAAAAACAAGTTTAGTGGCACATACAGCCTTCAAAAATTCATGTACCATTTGGCTTAATACTTCCTCTCTTCAAATACTGCCCTCCTGATCTGAACTGCCCACTGGTACTTAGAAAGAGGTTTCAGTTTGTACAGCAGCTGGGGTGGGGGATTTCCCTTAACTTTACTGTTCCATATTTATTTAAAAAAAAGAGATTCTGGTAACAAAACCAAGTCATGGACTTGGACAAGAACTACCTGTTACTTGTTCAAATGTCTCTAGTGCAGATGGCCCAACACAGTCCACCTCAGGGTAATGCATGCCGCATATTGGAAACTGCTACCAGCTGGCTTTCAGGTGGAAGTTATGAAGAATTAAAACTCTGCAATAAAAGAAGAAAAGCAGAGTGTGAAATATATGGATATTAAAACACTTTCCAAAAGGAACAAACCCCCTTGCTTCTTTTTTGATCCAATTCTACAAACTACAAACAAATATAACTACCAAAAATTAGGACACGTAAGAGTAATTGCAGAATAGTTTGTGAGCTCTTAGTATGAAACTACTTTTTATAGCTCTAGAGCATGTATATATATATATATATAAAATATAAAATATGTTGTGGAAATATTGACACAATCTGAAAAGCAGAAATTACATGGAGGAGAGGAGGATACAGGAATATGCACGTACTGGGAAGAAAACACTGTTGGAGGCAAAGTGGAGAAAATCAGAGGTGAATAAGAAAAGAAGCTCAAGACAGTGCTGGTCATCCCAACCAGTGTCTGGCATCCGATCTGGAGGATGCCAGGTTTCCACTTCCTTAGTGTTTCTTACTGCAGATGTGAGAATGTAAAACATGTGTCAGAGCTTTTTCCTTGACCCAGGGGGAAAACATGACATTTTCCCTTGATTTCTGTGACAGTCAAGTTCCAGGGCCTTGGAACCCAGCTCGGAGCAAGCAGGTAAACCATCATTGCTGTTGCAGTGGAACTGTGCTGCATCTCTGTGGGTCACAAAACTCCTCCCAGGAATACCCAGTTCTACACCAGCTCTCTGCTGAATGCTGTGCTGAGGTTACTATTCCCTTGCTCCACAGAGACAACTGTTTCTGTTTCATCATGAATGTGCTCCTTACTTACATGCCATTGTTTCATGTTTGTGTTTAAACAGGTGCTAACTCACAGGCAAGCAACTGGGCACTGTAAAAAACTTCTCTCACTTGGCGACAAGCTATTGAATACCAGCTGCTGGGTGCTGACGTGACTTGTGATTAGGATCCACCTGAATCAAGAGAGGGCATATGAGCAAAAGAAAAAAGACAGGCTGGGTAAGCAGTGTGGTTTTTCAGAAGGATGACTTAGCAAGATAATTCAGCTTGTTTCAGGAGGTACGTGGATTTATGCCTCATCTGGGGGTATATTTAATCTCAAGGAAACTATTTGCAGCAAATCTACTTTAAAAGTGGGCTTCAGAATATACATGCAAGATTGATAACTTAGCCCTGTCTGTGATGGCAACGAACTCTTGGAGGGAAATTACTCTTACTTGCCTTGAGAGTTTCAGGTCAAGGCTACATCAGACACTAATGCCTCTAGTAAATGCTCCAAACTACTTGTAGCTACTTGCACTATTGTTTAACTGCATATGCTACAACCGTATGCTAAAACTTGTACTGAAGAAGCTGTGCTCCCAAACATAGAGAGCCAGCAGAAAGGTGACTTTGTAATTCATCTGTAAATCAATCGTATTAGGAAAGGAAGAGGGCTGAGGCTTTTTTCAGGAATGGATGGTTCATCCTGTGTCAAGTAAAATCATACACCAGTCAGTAAGACTGCATCAACCAAACATTAAATTGTGGAGTGGAGCACAAGAAGGTCTGCAAGGAAGGATTTTATAGAACCTGTGATCCAAAGGAAAGCATATATTCTTTGTATAACAGGCAGCTAGAAAGCAAGTATGGAGCGTGCAGAGGAGGTGTGTACAACTGGGTCAGCAAGACCCAGCAAGGATGGTCCAGCAAGGACAATTCTGGGAGATAAATGATCAGGTACCTAGAATGGGTCTGAGTTAAGAAGCTGGTTGTGTAATAAAATCCCTTCTGGGTTTTGTTGTTAGAAACAAACAGTTCAAGTAACAGATGGACACTTAAAATATTTTTTGTCTTTTCTTCCTCTAACCTAGACTGCAGCCTGACTTGAACAGTACTTCAGGCCTGACCTCATCATCAGCTGTAGTTCTCTCCACGCATAGCATTCCAGACTGGATTTGGATTGCATGTTGTGTTTGCTCTCAGCTTCTCCTGGATCTAGATTGTCCCTGAATACATTTCAGTTTCAGACTGAAAGATACCACAATGTTTCACATAAGTCGTATTAGCCTGCGCACACCCCACACACCCTTCTGGGCCACTCCCTTGAAGAGAAATGTTTTTTTGTGCTGGACTGAACAGCACACTTGAATGACAAATGAGCATTGAATTAAAAGAACAATTCTAAACTGAATTGGCATTATCCTAGTTTGATTAAATAAGGCAGATGAGCACGATTATACTGGGGCTTTTCTGATCTAATTGCATACAATCAAGTATTTCTACCAAAGGAGAGATCACTGGATTGTTTAATTTTCACAGTTTAGTGAAGCAGGATATGGTTACAATCTAGTCACATATTTCACTCCTGCTTAAGAAGAAAAGCATGTTTCTTCACTCAGTGATGTGCTTAACAAAAACTATTTGAAAGTAACAGGAGTCTTTTCCTGAGATTTTTCCCTTTTAGTTCTTTAGAATTGTTCCATTAGCTTCATTCAAAAGTGAGGACTAAACAGAAAACTAGAGTGGGAAAAAACACCCGAGCCTTTCATTCTGTGTTGGATATTGAGTTGTGTTGGATATTTGAGTTCAAAAGAACTGGTTTGTATTTTTGCCAGTTGGCTTCCCTTCAGAAAGCATGCACTATTGTTTTGTTTAATTGTGCTTGTGGCTGACTGCCCTGCTGCTAAATAGGAATCAGATTTGGGCAGACAGATTACCAATGTCTCCCAGATGGATGAAAAGTACACCAATTAAACACAAGCAGAAGAGCTGCTGTTTTCTGATGTGGGGTAATTCCACCTCCAGGTGGTTTTGAAGCAGCTGTAGTTAACGTGCTGGAGAGCAGACACACATGAACTGAGTGCCTGTGGGAGGAAAGTAAGAGCTCATGAACAGCTGCCAGAAAAGCTTTTTTTTGAGACCCTTTTTTCCAGTACACCTGAAGTAATTTTACATTTTTCAGAATAAATACCTGAAGTTATGGAATTGTAAGAAACTGGTGATCTCGTATCCAAAGCAGTCATGGGGCACATGGTGTGATTCTTGGAAGTGTCCTGTGCAGGGCCAGGAGTTGGATTTTGATGATCTTTTTGGGTTCCCTTCCAAATCAGAATATTGTGTGATCCTGTGATCCACAGCCCAGGATGTGCACCCAGGTGAAGCTGTAGAATGCCTGCTGTGCCACACAGCCTGCAGAGTAACTGGGGTTGTTTGGAATGGCAGTGCAGCCCTGGGAAGCTCAAACATGCCTCCTGCACACCATGAAAACACAAGCTGGACAGCAAGGAGAATTTACTGTTCCTTGTTAAACCGCTGCAATAGCATTGCCTGTGGTTTTTGAGTTCTCACTGCTGCTATGAGCTGTGCTCTGGATTCCTTCCTGTCTGTTCAAACTTGCTCCCAGGAAGGCTGCATCTGCTTTTCACTTAGTAGAACCTGAGTGTCATTTCTAGTAAGAATTTCTGGTGGAGGTGCTGACAGACCTCTCCACTGGGAGAGGTGTTAGATTATGAAATATAATTTCACTGAATTAAATATGCTATTACTGCCATGAGGATTTCTTATTGCTGTGATTTTTTTTACACAACAGGAGTGTCAAGAAAACAACAAAATTCTTTCTCCTTTGTACAGAATTGTACTGACCCACTGTCTGGCACGTGGGGTCACAGCTGCAGCAGGCAGCCCTGAAAGAAAGCCGCATTAAGCAACACATGTCCCAGCTGCATTTCAGCATCTTTCTTCCTTTGTCCTTTTCCCTTGAGATGCCTGATAATCTGCAACACACAATGGACCCCAGATCCCAGCTTTATATCACAGTAGTAGAGATGCAGTCTAAGGCTACAGAAAGCATATATCAGCACAGTTGCAAAGCCCAGGAGGGTTGCTTTGAATTTATTTCTTTTTTTGTCTGGGTGCAGTTCATAGACAGTACAAGATTATTCTATCTGATCAGGAGCAAATGGCTTGGAGATGAGACCTGGCAAACCCTGGCCACCTATGCCTCTGAACAGCATCTGGCAAGGAACACATCATGTATGTGCTGGATGCTGAACAGGGATCTGCTAGGAAAAGGTAAGTAGGGCATCTTGGGGTGGCAAAAAAATTACAGTGAGGAACAAAAATCAGAAATTGAAGTGCTTTAATGGTCCATCCATTCACTTGAGTTGAGCACTCCTGCAGCACAAGGGCCCGCCTTTCTTCTGGCACATGTGCCTATAGGGGGACCAGATCCATCTCAGGAAATAATTTAGCTTGTAAGCATTAAACAGGGAAATGTCTACAGTTAGAATCTGAATTTATGTTAAAAAGGGTCTCATACAATGTTAGTTAACCACAATATAAAGTAAGTCTCTCCAGTTAAGGCAGCTGGGTCTTAACTACTCCAGATATTTTCTGTAGCATTGTAAGTAAAATACACAGGTACAGTGACATCTCCTTTTCTTTTTACAACCTTCAAATAGTGGAGAAGCCGGCTCTTGTAACTATACAAGCTTATTACTCATCATTCAAGTAAAACTTTTAAATTATACTTGTCCTTATTATTATCAAGCAGATAATAAGAAGAAAATAATAATGTATGTTGATGACATAGCAACACCAGCTGTATTAGCGACAAACAAGTGTTGCACCACTGCATATCAGAAAATATCCCCCTCTTTCCTTAAGCTAGCACAGACAGCATATTTTACCTACTTGCAATCTCCTTTAACTCAAGATTAGTCTGTTGGAGAAAAGAGATAAGATTGTCCTTGAGGACTGATAAAAATTCTAGACAGAAACTGTTGGGGGTTTTTTATCCTTAGCAGTTAATGAGTCGGTAAGGGAAATTATTATTTAAATAGTCTCAAAGTCATTGGTCACAAGATGCTTATTGGTAGAGAAGTGGGAAAAGCATGTCATAGTAATGAGTTTGGCAAGTCTTGGACTGCAGAAAATTTATTGCCAATTTAAGAAAGTTCTTTAATTTCCAAACAGCCATAGCAAAATGGTACTGTGCTTAAGACAAGGATCAATAATGTGATAGCTTGGGGAGAACTACATAAACAGTTTGGTTTGATTTCAGTTCAGTAAAATATATTTTGCATTGGAATTAAATAGTTTTTGTGTTGTCTGCATGAGGAAAAGATTGAGCATCAGTAGTAGAGCTGTTTAGTAGCTATTCACTTCTATCCTCTTGTATTTCTGTGTAGATGGAGTTTTCTCCTAATAATGAAATTAGCTAGCTAAGGATCTCAGGAACTGGGGTGCTGGGTAGAAAAGAGCAGATATCTGACTTTGTCTGCTGCAGGACATTCTTGACTCCACTTGAAACAGATTTCTGTTTGCCTTGAAATCCCAGCACTAAAAGGAGGTGAGCAGGCTTTGCAGAATTTTGGCAGCTTCTCGGTTGTCCCTCACTAGACCTTGAGTTTTATGCTCTAGAGGGATAACAAAGTGATCTTGAAAATCCATCATCACACAAATATCTAGATTTAAACCGTTGCTGGAATTTTTACAAGGTGACATGGTTGCTGAGAAGCTGTATTGGGCCAGCAGACAAGTCCAGGCAGTTACCCGCTACTTGTTTGGACAAGTTAGTTGTCATGGAAAATTTAGCGTTACGCTCTCCCTGCTCTAGCCTATCTTTAAACACTGTCTGCAGCACTCACGTTCTCTGACAAAGCCTCTCATTATTCAAAAAATAATTTTAAAATGTCAATGGGCAAAGAAAAAACCTGAGAATTTGAAAAGGCAGGCAGAATAAAAACGAACCACTTTGAGTTGGAGTGTAGCAACTAGTAAGTACCTGTGAAAGTAACATACTTCCAAACGCCATACATTTAAAAGATACAGAAAATTATAGAATAGGAGATGACAAGAAATTAGGACGACAACATCCAATTAACTTTGGATGCAGTGTTTTCTCCTACTTCCGTCTCCTAAATATATCTGAAAAAAAAACCAGCAAAAATCCCAAACCAAAACCAAACGACTTAGGAGGCATGAGCGGGCGCTGGAAATGGAAGCGGTGCCCGGAGGCGCTGCTGGGCTGAGGCGTGCGGCCCGGCAGCCCCGGCACTCGAGCGCGGCCCCTGCCAGCGGGCGCCTCTCCCTCAGGGCCGCCTCCCGCCGGGGCTGTGCCCGCGCGCCGCGCCAGGGGGCGCTGCGGGCACCAGCATGGCGGCGGGCGGCGCGCGCGGCGCGGCGGGGCCGCGGTAGAGGGCCCGGGCAGCGCCGTGGCGGTCCCGGCGCTCCGCCCGCAGCCGGGCAGCGGAGCGGGCTTGGTTGGCGGTGCGTGGGAATCGATCGCGGATCGCACCGGGGCCGAGGGAGAGCCGGGGGGTCTCGCTGGTCGCTCGTGCGGCCCTCGGTGCTGGGGGAAGGGCTCTCGCTGGGGGGAACGGGGCCAGGCCGCGCCGGGGCTGGCGGGCGGGGGGGTACGGGGACGCCGCGGTTCGTGCACGGCGCCGTCTCTCCGCGCCGCCGGACCCCCCCCGCCTTCGGCGGCCGTGGTGAGTCAGCGGCGGGCCCGTCGCGCCCGCCCGCCCCCCGCGGTGACTCGGCGGCGGCGCTGCGGATCATGCTCAGGCATGTCGGGCCTGGCCGGAGCGGGAGCTAAGCCCTGACTTGCCTCCTGGCAGCGCTATATAAGGCTCGGCTCGGCCCAGACACCTCCGGCGGGGTCCAGCGTGAGGGCGGGACGAGGCACCGAGGTGAGTGGGCCCCGCCGGCATGGTGGCTGTCGCCCGCCCGGGTTGTGTGGCTGAGTGCCGCGTTCTGAGGATGTTCTCCCCTTAACTGCAGGCAAATGTGCAATACCAAGATGTCCTCCCTTACGGATGCCTCCTCTGTCGCCGCTTCGGAGCAAGAGGCGCTGGTCAGTAGCTCTGTGGGGCGCGTGGGTTTTTTGCATGCTTTTTGCAGAGTTTTTAGCGGCTCATTCAGAAGAACCGCTGTGCTTAGCGAGTGATGGTTGGAGAAATGCCAGGAAGTCCAGCCAGTGAAGGGTGGTCTCTCTTTGGTTCTGTAGTAAGCAAATCTTAATCATAATTGAGAGTACAGGGTGATGGTGTAGATCTAGACTGTTTCCTGGAGACGTTTGATGTTTTTTGCTTTCTGTTAATAAAAAGGATCCTATGATCCGATTTGATCGTGGTAAGTATTTCGGGTGGAAATTGTTAACAGATCATAACTGAAGAGCTGTGGAAAATCTCCATCGTACAAAACATACTGTTGGTGGAATAATCTGAAGATTTTCGATTCCCTTCTCTATTGGAATTTGTAAGACGGTTGTAAGAATCACGAGTCTTCATTTGTATTTATGGCTTTGCATTTCCAGGCTTTCCATGATACAGTGACAGTTCTGTTGTTTCGTCCGTAGTTTTTCTGAGGATGGAAGCCTTTTACGCATGAAATGCGAGTTAATAAAGTACATATGTACAATGATGGTTGAACTGGATTATCTTGTGTAGAAGAGTAAAGCTTAATGTGGACTTTGCAGTAGAAAAATTTCAAAAATGAAATTGCAGAACAGCAGACTGTTAAAATCTGATTATTTTTTTATTTGTGTCTTCCTTTTTTTTACGTCACCATATCATGATATTGCTGTCTGCTGTCAGATCTGCAAGGCTGCAGTTCTTCATACTTTGAGGAGTCAGGAGGAGAGGGCTTGGGAATAAAAGTGAACTTAGTTGTGGATTCAGAGTTCTGAAACTGTGCCTTGGTACACTTAGCTGTCAGTAGTACTTGAATAAGTTGTTTGCTTCCTTTATGAAACTCTAATTTATATGCCGCATGTTCTAAATAATTCAGTTCTTAGGAGGGGGTGAATGGACAGTTAATGCTGTCCACAAGCTCAGTTATTTTTTTCATTATGTGTAATTCTTGCAGCTAATACCTTGTTAACTCACTAAAATGTAAGGTTGGTTTTAGCAGATCTTTGGAATGTAATGTAGGGTAGTTCCCCTCCTCCACCCTTCCCTCAAACATTTATTCCTTGTCTCATGATATTGTATTCACACTTCTCTGTTTTGATTTGTTGTTTGGTTTTGGTTTTTTTGTTGGTTTTTTTTACTTTCTGTGTTTATTTTTTATATTTAATTTTAGGTAATTTATCAGGATAGCTAAATATTAGCCTGGTTTTAGAATGGTTACGCTATTGTTCAAGAGGTGACATGAGAGTATACTGTGCTGGGAGCATCAGTGGCTCCACAGGCTTTGCTGTTGTGTCAGCCCCTGCAGCTTGTTCTCATCTGCTGCACTGGTGCTGGCACAGCTGTGTGGGACAGTGCAGTTTGTAGGCATGGGGGAGGTGACTTTTCTTTAACTTGCCTTCCTCTGCCTCGGAAACTGTCACAGACTGACTGTACATTAAACTGCTGGCACGGTGGGTGGGAGCAGAGGTAGGAGTGAATGAAGTATCACAGAAGGGACAGGGTGTGCTTGTCCCAGAGAAGAAAAGTCTTCAGAGGTAAAGCAGCCCAGCTGGCAAATGCAAAACAAAAACCCCAGAAACTGTCACAGAAAGAAACTAAGAAAGAGGTGGACAAGTGTTTCGCTTTATGACTTGCAGTCTGGACCTGACAGTTTCCTGTTTCCATCCTCCCTCCCCTTTGGGAATCATGGTAATGGTTAAAAGAGTAAAGCTGAACTCCCGAGGACCCAGCCCTGGACTTGGAACTAATAAACAAATCCTGTAGCTCCAATTAAGGAATCTGTATTTACCAATGTGTTGAGGTTTAATCCCAGCTGCTAACTAAGTAGCATCGAGCACCTTGTTTCCTGCCCCCCAGGTCCTTCATGGTGGGATGGGGGAATCAGAAAAAAAGGCAGAACATGTGGGTTTAATAACTGAAGTGTAAGAGTAATAGTAAAGAAAAGGGAGAGTAGTTAAATCCAAGGAAGAAAAGTGTTGCACAATGCAATTGCTCAACACCTGCTGATGGGTTCCCAGCCCGTCCCCCAAGCATCAGTCAGCACCTCCTGGCCAACTCCCGTGTTCATAACACTAGGCCTGACATTCTGTGGTATGGAATATCCCTTTGGCCAGTTCAGGTAAGCTGTGCTGGCCATATTCCCTTAGGGCTTGTTGTGCACCTCCTCACTGGGAGAGCATGATACACTGAAAAGTCCTTGATTTAGTTGTTGCTACTTAGCAACAACAAAAACATCAGTGTGTTGTCAACATTATTCTCCTGCTAAATCAAAAACACAGCACTGTACTAGCTACTAGGAAGAAAATTAACTATCCCAGCTGAAACCAGGGGACAATGAACAACTGGGGTTTGATCTAAGAAGTACAGTGTATAAGAAGATTAGTATGATTTGGTTCATATTATTTGCTTTTAAGTTTGAACTTTGCAAAGTGAAAAACTTAAGATAGGTTTTAATGCAAGTGTATGTTTGCATATCAGATTAATACAGAAGGAGGGAGACAACCTGTATAAATAAATTCTGTATTCTGTATAAATTCTGATTAGTGCATACTGTTTCTCTCCTTCCACACACAGGTTAAACCAAAGCCACTATTGCTGAAATTGTTAAAGTTAGCTGGTGCTGAAAAGGACACTTTTACTATGAAGGAGGTAAGAACTTTTAATCACTAGAGGTAGACTACAGTGAGTACAGATAGATTGTTTTGGGTTGGGTAAATGGGGGGCTAGTGTTCATAGCTTGTCTAGAAATTTAGTTAAGGCACTGTGTTTATTCTCCTGCTGACTTGTAACTGGGTATTCAGCAAGTTTCTCAAAAATCTGAACCAAAGTTTCTGGTGATCAGTAGAATAGCAGTGTTCTTCTGGAATGATAGATGAAAATCTGCTGGCTCAAAGAGAGTTTTAGGCAGAGTTTGAAGAGCAAATTACAATGTATTTAATATGCTTTGTCTTTTACACTTAAACTTGAAGCAACAACCTGGGTATTTAACATTTGTATTTCATTTATTTCACAGGTAATATTCTATATTGGACAATATATTATGTCTAAGCAATTATATGATGAAAAACAGCAGCATATTGTACACTGTGCAAATGATCTCCTGGGGGATTTATTTGGAGTAACAAGCTTTTCAGTAAAAGAACACAGGTAAAATGGGATTCTTTTCTGAGAATCTGGTTGGGAAATAATGAAGAACAAAGTGCATATATCCCTTTTTTAACTCTTCACGTCTACAAAGATGGTAAGCTCTCTTTTATGGTTACGTGTAGCTAACTTGTATCGTATTTTTCTTTATTCCTGTTTAAGGAGACTATATTCAATGATTTCCAGAAATCTGATAGCAATCAATCAACAAGGTAAGCTTGTTTAGGAAGGTGATTTGTTTGGGAAACAGCAGTAGGGAAAATACAATTTACGTAATGTATCTTGCAGGTAGTGATCAGATAACAATGAGCTCTCCCATTATTAGCTGTTTGGCTTTGCTCACTGTAGTCCAGAGCAATCACAAATAGTGAATCAAAGTAAACACTTGTTTCTTCAGGAGGAGAAAAATACTCTGAACAGAGCATTTGGGTATTTTTTTTTGTCTAGAACCAGAAAAAACACAGAGCTGAAAAAAAGATGCTAAATTACAAAATGAAGTAATGTGCTTGTATTTGTTACTGATAAAGCCCTCAACAACATACGAAGTTTTAATATGAAAAATTAGCTTCTTGAACGTACGCCACTGATGAAATCAGGGCAAAGGCTTTTTTTTTTTTTTCTTTTTTTTTAATGTTGAAGTTCTATTTTAATTTTCAATTTTCACAACTGAATGTGAAGTACATTTAGAACTGGTCATTTTTAGCTATACTCAACCCTGTTTTAAATGGGCTGTATATGTTTAAATAAAAGTAGAGCTTTGTGGTGATGCTGTGGAAAGCCACTCCTTCAATGGGGAATTGTTATACACAGTCCTGCAGTATAAAAATGCTCGATGTAGCTGTAATTTTTTGCCTAATACTGGGTGTGAAACAGAAGTTAAACAATGGAAGTCATTTTGTGTAAATTGTCCTCTAAATCTGTATAAGGATACCCTTTGTTTCTAATTTTTCCTAGAGGCAAGTGTTCAGCTGCTGAAGATGGGAAACTTGCTGTCTTTGTCATCCCCGTTGTTAAACTTGCAAACTTAAATTTATTTTTCAATCATTTTTTCATTAAACACTCTATTAATTCAGGATCTGTCTTAGTAAGCATAAATCATTAATGATAGCTAATTTTTCTTCTATTATATGTCTTTTAACTCAGGGTTCCCATAAGATAAGTAGCAAAAAGCACTTAGGAGAGGAGCAAGTAATTACATTTCATGCCTATATTATTTCATATCTGCAGAATCACAGTTTATGCACAGACTTCATTTGAAGCCATTTATAATAGAATTCTGACCTGCTTTCAGTTGACATTTCTTCTTTCTCGTCATTTCCACTTGAGTAATGTTACAGGGAAGGTGCTGCACACACCTGAAAAACAAAAGAGCAGTGTTTTTTTCCATTGTTGCAAAATGGATTTTAAGTTTTCCTTAGAATTTATTCTTCGAGCCTGAAATAGACTTTTTCTGCTATATTGTATTATGGGTTTCATTTTGGTTTGGTTTCAGACTCTACCCTTGGTGACACACCTGAAGATGATGCCGCATCTCCGCTCGAGGAAGAAAATGTTATTAAGGTGCTATTTTTATTTTATTTGAATAAATTTTATTCCAACATTCTATTCAGTTCTGCATGATAGTGTCAGTGGTTTAATGCAGTAAGTCAAATCTAGCTCTTTACCTCATATTCCTGCTCAGGCTTACTCAGTCTTTCTGTTATCAGGAGTCTATGCAAGAGTTAGAAGAGAAGCAGACTTCATCAAATGTGACTTCCCGACCAACTACATCTTCTAGGAGGAGGACACACAGTGAATCTGGTATCTGCAGATTTATGATGAAGAGCTTTCAGTAGCATGGCCACTTAGGGGGGAAAGCTACATTCTCTTGCCTTGCTGACTTGAAAGATGCTGACAAATACTAGTTGTGTTTCTCTGCTTATCTAAAACAAAATGTTCAGTCTGAAAGAAAAACACAATTCCTTGCATTGCTCCAGTATCATGTTACAGTTTCAATCTCTAGAATTGTTAGTAAGATGATGGAATAACTTGCTTCACAGCTCTGTTAAACTTTTTCACATCAGCAGGACATTATCAGTTGTATTATCTTCATGATGAGAACACTTTTGTTTGTAATCGACTGATACTATCAAATTGATTTCAATTCCCTCTGTAGAAAGCCACAAAAATTGACATTTTGTTGGTTCACTAAATTAAAGCCAGTTTTCTTTGGATTTCAACTGATGAGAGGGATCAAAGGTGTGGTAGTAACACAGGATGATTTTGGATATATTCAGGTACCTCACCATTCATTAAGCACTTGTTAAAACATCTGGTGACCTAAGCATCCTATTTGCCTCCCCTCTGTCTTTACTGTGGTTATTCAATAATCACTGGCAGATACATTTTCAAAATACAAAATTTTTCTTCTGATTAGTAGCAATAACAATCTGGTCAGCATAAACCTGAGTAAGTTTCTCAATGGAAGTGTTCTCTATGGTTCTACTTAAATTTATTCTCTGGAATTTCTTAGGTTAGTTTGTTCCATCACTTACTGTCTTGCCTCATGACTTGGTAGTTGTAGTTACCTGGGCAGTGATACCCTTCTGTCACTCTGTAGAACTTCTTTTTCTTCACTTGCTCAGGGACGTTTTTCAGTTTTTCAGCTTTCAAGTAGTATTTTTTGTGTCCCTCATAGGCCACTGTTACATTAAGTCAGTCCCAATCCAGTGCTGCGTTGCTGAGCGGTTTGCACTAAATTAAAAGAACATTTTAATGTTGTAACTAAAACTGATGAAAGGATGGAAAGTCTCAGTTAAATATCACAACCTGTAATATTTAGGCATGGCACAGAGCACATCAAGTCCTGTGTAGTGCTTACTTATTGTAGGTTTGATTATTAACTCTTGTCTTTGCATCCATTTATTAGTTTGTTACAACCTTAAGAGTTCTTTTAATATAGTGTTTTTATATACACTTTTTTTCTAATTTATAGGAAATCTTCCCTTTAAACCACTATTCTTGTTAAATTGGGATGGTAGCGGCTCCTTTGGAGCCACTTAAATAGTGTGTAGAGACCTTGTGGTGATACAGTATCAGTACGGCATGGAGCCATGACAACTAAATGAGGACAACGATGGACAGGAGCAACCTTTGGGCCTGGGGGCACCAAGTTTGGTGGGGCTCTCAGGGCGGAAAAAAGAAAAGAGAGGGGCTGAGCCAAGAAGCACCAAGGGAAAGTAAGAGAAGTCTCAAAGTATGTACAAGTGTTTTGTTCTCTTTTTTTTTTTTTTTTCAATGAAAGATTCAAGACTTGAAGACTTGTGGATTGTCACAGTGTGATTTGCAAGGCGAGGGAGAAGCTGGGCAGCAGAGGGTGGGTGCAGAAGGCACCTGTGTGGGGGCAGCAGGCTCATAACAAGGCCTGTAGAACCAAAAGTTGTTGGCAACTTCGGAGGTTTTACTCTGCTGCACTGAAATGCTGAATTTACAACACTTTTTTATATAAAATCATTTTTTGCCAAACACTCTGGAAGTCAATGGAGCTGGATTTTGACTTGCCTACCCCTAAAATGCTCTACCCTTAGTCCTTGCGCTGCTGTAGCTGGTTGTTCTAAACACAGTGTATTTACAAAGCATTGTCTTTTTGCCTTCAAACCAAGCATGCTTAGTAAGCAGAGCTTAAAGCAATGCTTTCAGAGTTCAACTTTTGCATAGTATGTCTTGAAGATTTTCTTGCTGGGGTGCAATGACAGTTCTAATAGTTTGTTACAAAAGTCTTGTTGAGTAAATACAATTACATATAGTGGAACTATTCACTAAATATGTTGAGGTGTCTGAAACTTGAACCTGAACTTACCTTGCTTAGCACAAGGTGTTCTGTATGCATGTGACCTGGGAGCTAATTGCTCTGTCTCTACAAATTCTGGGATGGATTCAAAAGCTCTCTGAAAATGCCTTTCTCTCTGTTGCTGGTAGAGGGAGTGAGGACAAGTAAAATTCTAATTGTATTTCTTAAAATTAGGAAGGGTTTAACACATCACGTGTGGAGTAAAAATTCTTTCAAATTTGCAATTGTTTTCCATGCGGAGTCTGCCATTCATAAGCTGTACTGGTGTGACAAATGGGGAAAGCCAGCCCCTGAAACACTGGTTTCAGAAATGTTTCACACTGTATGGGTTAATAAGTGTTATTGTGTCTTTTAAAATAAGTCTTAGTGCCTTTTTGCGCCATAAAAAATACTGAAATATTTTACTTTAGTTATTAGATTTCTTTATTGTAAATTATATTTTAAGCTTCTGTTTAGAATATTCAAAACTGCACATTGCATAGATGTTTTTGAGTAATAAAAAAATTCTTGACTATGCCCAGAAGAAAATTCTTCAGATGATCTGAGCAGTGAGAGAAGAAAGCGACACAAGTCAGACAGCATTTCGTTGACGTTTGATGAAAGTCTCTCATGGTGTGTAGTCAGTGGTCTGTGCCGTGAAAGAAGCAATAGCAGTGATTCAACAGATTCTCTTTCCATTCCTGTAAGTCGAAATAGAAATGCAAAGTATTTTTGTGGTACAAATTTTGCAGTTGCCACAAGTGCAAACATGCATCTGAAAACACAGTGTTCTTAATTAAAAGCAGCAGTGCCTTCAGTGGTGTCTGAGGAAAGAAAAGAGGTTGAAAGAAAAGTAGGTGTGTGGGTGGTGGGGATTTTCATAGGTCTGCTGGCAAACCTGAAGTGAAGTTTTTTAAAATATTAACCTTGAATATTCTTTAAAAACCAAGATCCTTGCTGCTTTGCACAGTATGGAAAATGTTAGGAGACAAAAAGAGTCATAGACTTCCCATAATTCAGAGTTAGGTGGTAGTTCTGGTACAGCTTTGGTAACTGTACCAAATGGTACTGTATCCAGTGGAATGGATGCTGGTGATGCATTGTATTAATTTGCCATGCCACTTTCTTGGAAATTTTATACTGTTTTTAGCAAACACCAAGGCAAATTATTTGTGGTTTGATTAAGTCATGAAGAGCTGAACTAACAGTGTTCCTAGTTAAATACTGTGTTCTAAATTGACAGAACTAATACTGTATCTTCAGTCTACCTGTTTTGTAATTGTTAAGCCATGGTCTCAGACTAAACAGTTTATGAGAATAGAGAATTTAATGACATAATGCAGCCAAAAGATACCATCTTCTTGCATCTGTTCTTTCACTTTTTAGAAGGGACTTTCTGAAATAACTGCAGCCTTTCAGCTGCCTATAAGCTGAGTGGTTTCTTATTACAGAGCCAACAAAAGGCCTCCAGACCTAGCTTTATTTTTACCCACCTGTAATTTGTTTATCTCATAAAAAGTACTGTGTCTCACAGCAGCTGGTCCTTTCCCTTCCATATCTAATTATACAGAATAGTACAGCTTTTATCCTGAGAGTTGTTTTAACAGTAATGTTATGTATATGGACTGGTGAAGTTGAATGTGTGCTTTCTTTTTTTGTTCTTTTCAGGATCTTGATGGTAGTTCATTAAGTGAAAACTCTGATTGGTTTGACCACAGTTCTGTATCAGACCAGTTCAGTGTTGAGTTTGAAGTTGAGTCTATTTATTCAGAAGATTATAGCCATAATGAAGAAGGGCAGGAGCTCACAGATGAAGATGATGAGGTACTATCTGCTTTCCTTGTTTGACCCTGGGGGTACAGGATGATAAATAGAAGTAATTTCAACATGAAAAATTACTGTAAGTTTCCAAGGAGAACTCTTCAGGTGTATTTTTGAACTGCTGGTGTCACAGTCTGCACCCAGTCGTTCATTAAATCAAATTACACATCGATGCATTTGGGTCACCGTTATACAGCTCACCAGCCAGTGACTGAAACGGTGCTGAGGCTTTCTGTAGGCTCTGAAACAGGCTGGATAGGAAAGTCTGGGTGCTTAACTTCTCTCACTACCTGTTGGAGTCTGTGGCAGAATGTGTACCCTAGTCTTTCTGCATTTTTAGTTCTAGAAGTATGTGCTGAGCTTTGACAACACTTGATACCAAAGGAAACCTTTCTCAGTAACTTTTTTCAAAGGGATATGTCCAAGTTCTTTGCCACTTTGAATGTGTTTCATAGAGATGCTGAACCAAAGTTTTAGAAATCATTATTAGTAGGCAAGAAGACAGAAAAATTTGGATTACCGCAATTTTCAAGAGATTTCTGGTATGTTGGGAATGAAGTGAAAATATACGTGGGGTTTTCTTTCTGGGTTGGTTTTCTGTTACTTTAAGAGAGGTTAATCAGCTCATGGCAAGCTTGGGTAAGTACCAGAGGCAGAATTCGCGAGGGACATACATGATTGTGGTACCTGAGAGGCTGAATGGGACTGACTGTACTGATGTAGCTGTAGTGTAGTGCAGAGCTGCACCCTGAGAGGGGATGGTAATTTGGAGGAAGACAGGATTGAGGTGTGCCCCTACTCCAGACAGTAGTTTTGGGAATTGCAGAATGACTGGTGTTTGAAGGGGCCTCTGGAAGTTGTCTTAAACACCTGCTGTGGCTGAGGCAGAGCTGATTGCCCAGGTCCGTGTCCAGGTGCCTTTTGAATATCTCCAGGGATGGAGGCTTCATAGATGCTCAGGGCAGCGTGTGCCAGTGCTCCTTCATCCTCACAGCAAGAGGTGTCTCCTGATACTCAGAGGGAACCTCCTGTGTTTAGTTTGTGCTAGTTGCCTCTTGTGCTGCCACTGGACACACTGAAAAGAGTGTGGCTTTGTGTTCTTGATGCCAGCCTTTCAGGTATTTACGTGCATTGATCAGGCACCCCTTGCCCTGAGCCTTCCCCAGGCTGAACAGTCCCAGCTCTTTCAGCCTTTCCTCACGTGAGAGTTCCTCTAATCCATTAATAATCTCAATAGCCCATCCCTGGAGACTCTCCAATGGCTTGCTATCTGAAAATCTCATCAGGTTAAAAATATTTTGGGTTTTTAATTAAACGCCAAAACCCAGTTATGTATTTTTTAAATTTAAACCAGGTTTATCAGCTGACTATTTACCAGGACGAAGATAGTGATGCTGATTCCTTTGATGAAGATCCAGAGATTTCTCTAGCTGTGAGTAAAAACTTGTCTGGTGATAAATTTGGTAAACTGACATAGAATAGATGAAGAAGTATAGATTAATTCTATTGCTATGAATGATTTTTTTAAGAATTAAATTAACTTCTGTGTGGGAAGGTTCCAGTACAATATTTTAATTACTGAAAATGTGATTATTAAGAAATCTTGGAGGTTTTTTTTAATGATCAGTTAACTTCCTAATCCATTAAAAAAACCCAGTTCCGTGCTAATTTACGATTTTGTTGACTTAATGGAAGTAAATTATTTAGAGCCTAAATCGGACTTCCTCTACAAAATGGAAAAAATTTAAATCTTAGTCATGTACATTTAAAAAACTTTTCCTATAAGTTAGAATACCTGATTTCATTGTCCAGCTTGAACAAAGGTATCTGTAACATGCAGATGTGAAGGCAAGCCTTTTTTCACAGCACTACTGTAGAAGAGGCCTTTACTACATTCTGTGAGACCATTCTTGAAGAGTGGGAAGAAATTTACAGTCTTGAGGCAAAGTATGGAGATATTTGTGAAAAGACACTGCATTTTAATTCTACAGTGTGCTATCTCCTTGTTTATATTTGCTTTTCACATTTGATGCTTGAATTAAAGCTGTTACGTGGAACTGTGAAGTGTTCAGTCCCTTGATAGTCTGTTGGACTGAGGGACTTTGTGTGCTAAAGAGCTGGCCACCTTCTGAAAACGTAGCAGTGCTTATGTGTGGAAAAAGAGACCTGTACATTATTTTTAGGATTTAAAATTGGTCTTACAAGCTTTTGATGTTACAGATGTTATTCAGGATTTACGTAAGTTTTGGGTTTTTTTTTTTTGTTTTGTTTTGATTTCCCCTACAGCCTGCATTTTTTCTAAGAAGGGTCTCTGTCCTTAAAAAGAAAATGTGTTTTTAACGAAATAGTGGTTTATTTTCATTGCAGTATATGGAGTTGCCTTTGAGAGGCTGATGCACCACTTTGTTTTTTTCCGTTTTATTATTTTTCCTTTCCTCCTTCTTCCGTCTGTTTTCGCATTGGCCGATGTTTTGTGTCCTGCGGCTGTGTCGGAGCGCCCTCGCGCGGCCGTTCTGTGCACCAGCAGCTCCGCAAACCGCAAGGGAGGGGTCCCTCAGTCTGGAATAGTCCCCGTTGCAGAAGTCCGTAGTCGAAGGGAAATGATGACCTTCTTAACACGTTTTTCAGTTCTTACCCTGAAGAATTTTGTGGTCTGATTCCTGCAGTTTTGCATAAGAAATAATAAATTGTTCTATTCACAAACCTACTGCAAAACGAAGGAAGGCCAAGGTCTTTTTAAAATAGGAACCATTTTAATCTAGAACTGTGAAATGGGGCCAAAACCACTGAATGGAATTTTAAAATTGTAAACAAGTTGATAGCTCGACATAATAATTATTTTGGCAGTAGTAAGTTGTTTATAATGTCTGAATACTTCAATTGTACTTGAATTTGAATACTTCAAAAGTAGCTTAAGCTGTTCCAACCTTTGATTCACTAAAGGATTATTGGAAGTGTCCGGAATGTAATGAGATGAATCCTCCGCTTCCACGACATTGCCACAGATGCTGGGCCCTTCGTGAGGATTGGCTTCCAGATGAAAAGAGTGAGAAATTGGAAAAGAGCAAATTAGAAGCCTCCTTTCCTGCAGAGTCTGGAGAAGGTTTTGATGTTCCTGACTGCAAGAAAACAAAAATGACTGAAGAAAAAGAGCCAGCTATGGATGAGAATGAGGATAAAACAGTACAGCTTTCTGAGTCCCAGGAAAGTGAAGGTTATTCCCAGCCATCAACATCAAGCAGCATGTTCTGTAGCAGTCAGGAGGACTTTAAGGAACCTGAGAAGAGAGAAACACAAGACAAAGAGGAAAGCATGGAATCCAGTCTGCCTGTTACCAGCATAGAGCCATGTGTCATATGTCAGAGCAGACCTAAAAATGGCTGCATCGTACATGGCAAAACAGGACACCTCATGTCATGTTTTACGTGTGCAAAAAAACTCAAGAAGAGGAACAAACCCTGCCCAGTGTGCAGGCAGCCCATACAAATGATTGTACTAACTTATTTTAGTTAGACATATGTTAACTGGAAAGCTGCAAAAGAAACTTCATAAACTGGTTAAGAGAGTAAGAAATTATTTTTGTATGCTTATTGGAAAATTAATATTTTGTGTCTCTTGGCGTTCTGTGTGAAAAATAATTGCTGACATAAATGCACTGGAGTTATTAAGAGGTTTGCCCTATACTCATAAGTCAACTTGGAGATTTTAAATCCCTCTCAGTAGAAGTAACCAGATCCTCTAAACCACCTGCCTCTCCAAGTGTTTAATGTTCCTTGCAAGTTAGTGACATTTGTTTTATTGAATTAAATACATGCATTAAAACCCCAAATTCAGTGATTGTTGGAGGAGAGACATGTTGAAGTGTTTATTTCTGCAAGTTCCTCATTTAAGAAAATAGATGATTATCCAGGTTCCTGTTTTTGTTGCCTGGTGAAGACAAGGTACAATCAGACCCCTCTGAATAAATTAATAAAATGAATAAATACAATCTTAAATTCCTCCAAGTAACCAAATTCTGTGGGAGATCTTACCAGGAAGTAGAGAAAGATGTGGCAGAAAATAATACTTTGGAAACAGAAAAGGGTATTGTGTGTCTTATTTTTATAGTCTGCAATTGTAAACTTAAGGGCTGTGTGTCCCCCATGAGAAGTCAATGATACAAGCTCAGTCATACCATTCTCTCTCAGATATCCTGAGAATCTGACATTTGTGGATTTGTAGGTCTGTACTGATTATGATAATGGTTATTATTAGTTTAGCAGCACTGAACAAGTGTCAGGCAGACAAGATAAATGAAGGATATGCTATGAACTGTCATGTCAGGCAGTATTAGGGGACAGTTGTTTTCTTTTTCTGCACTAGTTTCTGACTTAGCAGAATACATTCAGCTGCATTGCTGCATTCACTGTAATAAAAATAGAAAAGAAAATCCACCTTCATCTGCAGAAACAATTGAGCTATGCAGTTCCTGTTCACAATCTTCAAGTGCAGTTGTCTTTCCAACTCATTGTTCTTATCTGTATCACAAGAATTCTGAAAATCTGAAAATCATTGGCCAACTCAAAGACCTGTTCTTTACTGCTTTTAGCTCTTGTCTCCTCGCTGTGCTTTGTCAGAAACTTTGTGAAACTTAACAGTTCTGTGCCCAGGGAGTCTGCCTCAGTTCGGGGGGCCTTCAGGTGAGGTAGTGTGAGTGTGGGAACCAGGATGCAGTAAAGATCACTCAGCTGCTTTTCATGTGGAGTTTCTGTATCCAGTGAGTGATAGTTATTCCTTTGGAAAGCTATGTTACAAGAGGAGTTGTATATTTTTAGCACGTTTTATTTTTACAGGTGGGTGCTGATTGTCTGTCCAGTAGGGAATGGCAGATAAACAGTCAGGGGAGTGCCAAGAGTGGAGATGTAGTCCAAGTGCAGGAATTGAGCTGTGTTACCATCTTACAGGCCAAGGCTCAACAGCTTCCCTAACACCAGCAGTACAAAATTGCTGATGCCTGTGTGCTGGCACAGAGACTTCTGCTGCTCTCCTTAACTGCAGGGCTGCAAATGCCTGCAAGTGCCCAGGAAAAGGATATAAAGCAAGGACAGGAGAGACTTAGTAAATCCTTGGTTGTGACTTGGTTGAAAAGTAGTAACTTCATAGGTAAAGACTGAATTACTGGGACCATTCACATTTTGTTCATACATTTGAGCTATTTCATTAAAAATACCACTAAAAGATATTGGTATACCTGAAGTTCTAACATAGTTCATTTTAACTAAACAAAATACAAACCCCAATTGTATACATTCAAATTCTTACTGGCGAGTTTCTTGCCTCCTGCAGTTTGTAAAGGGGCAGCAGGTAGCTGGAAGTTCTGGGAAGTTTTTTGATCAGCAGAAACCTTTTTATAGGATTTTATAATCCTTCATGGGTTTTAGAGGATTTGATAATCCTTCAGCCTGAAATAGAGAAGGCCTTTAGGTAGATAGTTAATTTTTCCAAGTAGGAGTACTAACAGAGGGCTACCTGACTTACTTTGCACTAATTAAAAATTAATGTTTTTTTAATTTTTGATTTGATAAACTTAGGTGCAGTGAGGCTTCCAGAGGCTCTTCATTGCACCTGCAGATGAGGGAGAACTGTAGATATGTATATGCAGAAGCATCAATAACATGGGGACTGTACTTAAAAAGTTATATCTTGAGAAGCTTTGTCCACTGCATTGTCTACCATGTCTTCCCCTCTCTCCATACGATGCCTTCTCTGCCCTGCCTGTGTAACTGCAGTGCTGGGGGAGCAGCTGTCCTTACCTAGTTCCTGTTGGGACAAATTGTACCATCCCACTCTTGGCATTCTTTTCCAGTCACATGCCTTCTGTTGCAGAGAATAGCCCTGGAAATACCTTCCACTCACTATGAGTGATGAGGAAATGGGGAATTTTAATTTCTGCATCTGCAAATAACTGTGTCAAGTGTTTGGGTTTCAGTTACATTTTATGGTTTAATATTCTTACTGACTTCTAGTACAACTTTAGTTTGTTTGGTGTGGGTGCTTGCCTTCCAAATGGAAGTGCTGGGTATTGATGCCTATTCCTGCTGGGGACACTGGGAGTGCAAGTGCAGGCCTGGTGCCCGGGGGCTGTGTCACAGTCACTCCCCTGGTGACTCCCGGCTCTGCCTCCACCCCCTCTCCCAGCCTGGCCGTGCTCCGTGTGTGAGCACAAGCAGCGAGCACCCTGCTTGTTCTGGCCCTTAAACACGGTCCTGGCCTTGGGTAATGGCACAAAAATCAGTAAAGTTTTGGTACAAGAGTTGTTCCTCCTTGGTGAGGTGTTTGAGATCCTTATTTAATATCGCACACATTTTGATCTTTAATTTATTGCTGTTTGTAAATATCCTTGTGCTCACAGTTGATGTTTTGAGCTCTAATTTATTGAATTAGTCTACTGGTACGTGTATAGTTATATAAATATACTTATTTAGTAAATCACAGGCACAAGAAAAATAATTTAAGAAATGTAGCATTAAAATACAGAGAAATACTCTTTATTATATTCAGATTGAGAAGGGCACATGAAGATTAATGGCTGTGTTTCCTTTTTTCCTTCACTTAAAACAACTCTGCATTGAACATGAACAAGATTTATTAAATAGAGATAGAGCTGGTGCAACATTAGCATAGTGAAAATATTTTGGTGGTGTTTTGCTTTCCTTTAGAATGCTTTTGCATCCCTCAGTGCAGGCAAGGAGCTGATTGCTTCCGGGTGCTGGTAACACTGGGGGTGATGGCCTAGGAGACACAGGACCCGGTGATGAGAGTCTTTAAGGTTAATTTGCAAAGGTGGTAATGGCTTTTGCCTTTGCACACGTGACCAAGAAGGTTGTAGGGGAGGCCAGATGCCCACAGGATGTGGCTGTATGTGATTTTCAGTAATTTTCTTCATCTTGTCCTTCTTGCACATCAGGTAGACAGTTACGTACAAATGATGCAAAAACTTGCATTTATTTTTTTAGGAAGTACAGTGAACCTACTTGTTGTTTAAATACAAGTCTTTAACTATTTACCTATTTGTTAGTATTGCCTTTATATTAGTATTGAAATTTACTCCACACCAGCAGGATCGTGGGCTGTGCCATCCTGTGCCTCTCTCCTTAGCAGATGATTTAGAAGGATTGAAGTGTTTCAAAATGCTCACTGGTGAAAAGCTTACATTTCTTCTAAGAGTGTGGTACTATTTTTATCACTGAGTTCTCTTTGCTGCACATTTGTTCAAATGTCACTGTCTCTGAAGTGTCTGTGGGTATGAAGATGCTTGCAGGACTTCAGGCAGATTTTTTTTTCTCTTTTATGACTAATATGAGGAAGAGAAAATTCCTCGTTCTTACAGAAAGTGTCAACAAGAATAGTTTAAAAAAATAGTATCTTACAAAAGAAAGATTAGAAAATTATTAGGAGCTTAATGAAACTGAATAAACCGAGTAAATAGGATGAAAATAGGGGTGAAGATTTTTTTTTTCGCCATCTTAATCTAAGGCTGCTGTTGTGTTAAGGCATAACTTTAGGTAGAGTATATGTCAAAGCAGGTAATTCATTCAGCATATTGGCTTGCCACACACGGTGGGGCAGGACTTACCCCTTATCCCAGGAAGATACAACATTTTGTTGTGCGACATTTGGCCTGAAAAGGGGCATTTGCTGTTGTGAGGCTTCCCTGTGGAAGGAGCATTGGACACGGGACTTGTGGGTGGGCGGCATTGTTGTGGTGGGGCTGTAGGGTGGCCTTGGTCCCACAGCACAGCAGAGCCTTGCTCTGGAGCATCAGCCCTCTCCTCTTCAGGGGATTCCCTGCCCTGCCTTTCCTGCTCCTTCATACCAGAGTCCAAGGCACATCTTGCTCTTTAAAGGTTGCACAAGCAGAGCACAAACCCCAGCTTAAGATTTTAGCAATGGATTGCACTTACTGAACGTGAAAAATTTTAACTAAAGTGTGGGGGGTTTGTTAAGGGGGGTTTTTTAGCACAGATGCACTGAAAGCTTCAAGTGAATGCTTCTTTAGTGTATCTATAGCTATATTATACATGTGAAATTTGTCAGTGATACTTAAAAAGGTGGTGGCTCTCCTTTTGAGTAGATGTTGTTTTAGCTTAACAGCCTGCTTTAAAAGGACAGTAGTGGCTGTTAGGATGATGATAACTGAACACCTAAAATACAAATTGTTTTTCTAAAACCAGAATCTCTATTGTTTGACTACACATAGCTGGGATGACTGTTGAACAGAGTAGTTCGTTGTGAATTTAAATAACTATGCAACACGCCTTCAAGAGCTTGACCTGGTGCATTACTTTCCAGCTACCCAGTGCATGTATGACCACAGTCAGTAACCATTAAAATGCAAATATCCACTCCAATTGCACACAGTATAGATCCATTTATGAAGAGTTTCACATGTGTTTATCTTTCAGTTTTCAGTTTTTCCTTTTCTGATGAAAATTGAATACTGTGTTCCATTTAAAAGCTTTAAATAAAGATTTGTTTATATACTCCATGGTGCTCCTTTTTTCATGTCAGTTACTTGATTGTTAGGAGTTCTGGTACTTTGTCTTCACACAGATTCTTACAAAGGCTCTTTCTGCCCCCACTCAGCTGCTGGACTGCTGAATTCTATCAGATCTCTTTGGTTTGGGAAATTTTAACTCAAGGAATCTCGTTCTTCCTGCTACAAGTGGCAGGATCAGTGATGGGATTTAGTGGATAATTACTTCTCTGTGTGGTAAACAACCCACAGCAGATCAGAGGATGAGAAAAGGTAGAAAATGCAAATGGGTGAGAAAGACATTCAAAAACCAGTCTCTTGCACACACAGCTGTCATTGCTATCAGCATTGGTGTTTCAGGTTCTGAAGTGGATTCACACTGAATGTGGCCGTCTGGCAGACAAGCAGCTGATGCCCAAGCTCCACAGTCCAGCAGGTAGGGCTTGGTGTGACAGGCAGTGCCTCAGGAAAGATTTTAAAAGGCATTAAAGGATTAACTGCATTCCTGCATTTTTTATTTACTGTATACAGGAAAAGATTGATGTTTCCAAAGATAATCTTTGCTGGTTTACTTTTGAAATTGCTTAAGAAAATTACTGGCAGATAAAGCTTTAAAATAAACACAGGAGACAGTACTAACTGGCTTTTCTTGATAAATTTTCTGTTTATTGGGCAGCTTCAAAGGGCCCTGAAAATGACTTGCAACTGGCCAGGCAAAAGGAATCTGCTAATCCTGTCTTGCAGTACAATGCAGCCAGGGGAGCACTGAAACCACACTCTGTAACTGGAGCTTGCTTGTGCCTTGCTGAGTGTGGCTGCCAGCTCCTAGCATGGGTGTTAAAACAGTCCCAGCAGTGGAGTAGCAGGGCTGTGAAGCTGTTGAAACAGCATAAAGCCATTGCTAAAACTATTCAAAGAATTCTGAATTGTATGTGGTTCTGTGCCACAACATACTCAGTTAAAAATGGAGAAGGTATAAAGCTGTCAATGACTCTTTCCACATTGTTTTCAGCAGCTCTGCTGTAGGAGAACATTGTTTTCAGAGCCACAAATTCCTCCCTTTTCCCTGTTGGTGCAGATTGTCATCCAGCTTCCACAGCATGGCCCTTTGGCAGATACTCACATTTAATTTTCATCTTCTTGTCTTAAAACATGTCTGTGTTACTGGTCGTGACCTCATTTGAGCCCTGAGCAGTCCCATCTGTCCAGGTAAGAAAGAGCATATATAAAAATGCCATTCTTCATTTATAGCAGTGGCTTTATTATGAGAAATTAGTATTGAGCTGATGACTTACAGTTGTGTGGTACCTGAGCTGTTGGCTCAATGAGGACCCTGAGCTTGCATGAAACACTGCAGTACAATCCTCAATGTTTTAGAATTTGGGAAAAGTCTTTAAAATGTATTTGTACTTTCTGCATCAAAATTCTGTGGTTATCTCCATAGGCTGTACAAAATTGTGTCAGAGTAAAATACATAGAAAAATATGAGTCTGTTACAATTAAAAATACATCTGCTGTAACTAAAGTAAAACATTCAATTGTCAAGCCAGTATTTTACAAAATACAGTAAACATGATTGTGAATCCGAGAATTTGGTTTGTAAAAACATACATTCTTTTGCATATACAATTCCTTCTCTGAAAAGCAATATTTGTGCAGGAAGATTTTGCCTTTGCCTTTGTCATTCCTGACTTTATTTGAAAATTACCAGCATAACAGTCATTAAAACCAAGATGTGTACAGTTGGTTTTACTGCGGATGAAGCCCGTGTGAGCTCTTGGTAGAGGGGAGTTTTGGGGCATGAAGTAACTCTTGATCTGATCTGATCTGAGACCTCTGGGAAAGAGAAGTCCTGTTTCAAAGCACTGAAGTTTCCAGTGTTGTCAGGTATTTCCACTGTCTTCAGCATCGATCTAAATCCTGGTACAGTAGCCTAAGAACAAACACAAAAGCGTTCTTCCTTGGTTTGAAACACTGAGGTCAACTGTGAAACAGTAATTGTTTACACTTTAAATGTACAGGGGAAATGTTCTAAAGATACATTTGAGAACATGGAATGGGAAAAGAGTAAAGTTTTCATGTTATAGCAAAAAGACTCTAGCTGTGCAAGAGTCGGAATCCTGCAGCGATGCTTAAGCGTAAGCCCTTGGCAGCAGGCAGAGCCTGTCCATCATGGGTGTTCTTTGGACTTCCACAAGAAACCATTCTGACCCAAGGCAATGACAGTCACGGATGGTGGTGCCAGCCCGCTGCTGCCCGGATCCCAGACTCCACCCTCTCACCCTGCAAGAGCTCCGTGGCTTGTTTCAAACACCTCAAGCTCCTGTTGCTGTGCTCCAGACGCTCATCCCAGCTGGCTCCACCATCAAGGTCCAAGGAGTGCTTATCTCTGGACATTGAGGACTGTATCAAAAAATATCCTTTCTGCTGACTAATATTTAAATATATAGGTTGTTTTTTTTTAAAGTCTGCTGTAGAGTCTTTACACCTCCTAGCAGTTCAGCTCTAAGGCTGCAGTCTCACTGTGCTCAGGGACTCGGTGCAACTAGAAACAATACTTCAGTAAGGCTGCATACTCACATTGATCACATAGGTCCCAGGCAAAAGGAGAAGAAAGTACTCCCCTTGTTCATTTGTTCTGTAGGGGCAGACATGTGGCCTTCCTTTGGCTTCCACAATGGCGTTGGGAATAGGATTCCCATTCTTATCAGTAACTTGGCCTTTGACACCTTTGAAAAAAGGGAGAGGAGGGAAAGATCGTGAACTGCAACTGGTGAGCCTCCTTCTCTGAGAAAGACAGACTGTTCTGTTGCTGGATGCACTCAAAGGCTATTTCACCATGTTTCAGCACATCTAATAATATCACTAGTCACTTTGGCCTTGCTCAAGGGAATTAAACCAGAAAATCCTTGGCTGTTGTTAATAGCTTACTCTTATGTTAAATTAGCAGTATTGTAATCTCCTCTTCTAAATCTCATTTGCTGAAGGTATCATGCACACTTACTCTATGTCCTTTACTGAAGGGCTTCAATCTTCAGTACAGGTTTGGCAGTTTTTGCACACACCCACCCACCCACCCTTCTTTTTTTGTGATTTAAAATAAGTCAGCCTCTTGTCTAGTACTTCCCAAAGGCAGAATACCAACAATGTCTGCTTATGAAGTAGTTTCCCTTAATTCCCACACACCATCTTCAAGGCAGCACCGACATTAGGCAGAGATAAAATAGCAGTCAGATATTTAGGGCAACAAAATGCAAGATAAGCAACAGGTTTGTGCAAACCCTTCAACTCATTGTTAAGCACCACAGCTTCACTAAGCAGCATTTTTTTCCAAATATGAAGTCAGATCACACCTAGAGAAGCCCTTCAAATTTACAAAATCCAAGCAAGCAAAGACCCGTGACACTTGTGCTGAGGCACACATACACTTAGAAACCTCTGAAATAAATGATTGTCCCAAGGCTGCTCAGAAAAATGAGGGGAGGGGGGGAGTGCATAGTCAGACAGCCCTTAGGGTCTGTCTCTTGCTCCTGCCCCACATTTTAAGCCCCTTGCACACCTGTAGTAGCACCCATTGCCCCTCCTCGCCTGACACACTTGTAAGTTCTCCTACCTTACCCATCCATGGCTTTGTAGTACTTCCAGTTCAGGAGCTCCCAAGTTAACACCAGATTTCACCCCTGTGAGCTGTGACACTGACCCAGGCTGCTGAGGAGTTCCCTCTAAGCTGCCTCAGATTTCACTCTGTCCCCATTGGCATACCCACCTAGGTGTACTTGTTTGATATATTCGATCAGAGCAACTTTGTTGTCTCTCCAGAACTTTTCCAGCTGGTCTGCTGGAGGATATTTACAGCATGACAGCTCCAATGTAATTTCAAAACACTGTCCCCAGACATAGTTGTAATCTTGCATTCCACCTTAAAAGTGAAATAAAAGGGTTTTCAGCTGCAAAGAAACACTAAGGTCAAATTAAAAGACAAACAGGAGAATTAAAACGTTGGTACTTGCATCATACCTGTAAGAAACGTAAATCAGATAAGTTACTCCACAATGCCACACTTGTATTTATTGCCTCCTGTGAAAAAACTTAATTATTTACTCATAGAGTGTTGTTTTCTAAAGCATACTTCATTTTGGAAATGATGATGATTGTGGCTGAGAAAGAGTGGGCCTTAGACTTAAATTCATTCAAGCTTTCCCAACTAAAAAGGGACAGATAGGCTGGCATAGGATTTGTTACTGCCAAAGCCATTCCAAGACCCTTTTAAGTATTTGAATTCAGACAATGAGAACATACACAGTGCACAAGCCCCATATTCTATTTGGCTACACATAAAGAATTTATTTCTTTCACATTTATTTCAGTAATTAAACATTTAAAAATTGACGACATATGAATAGAAGAATTCCTTCTTTCTGAAAGGAGAAGATCTTGATGCCAAGCAACATGTTGCACGTGTGTTATGTGTATTACAGCCACTGCAGGCCTTAAGCACAGAATCAGGCAAACAGCAGTGACTGCCTCGTTTGCTTGTGTAATTGCTGGCTGGAAGAGTCTGAAAACACCCAGGTCCTGCTCAGAACCTGTGTGAATGAGTTGACTTGCTCCCCTCATCAGCCCTCTACTCTGACTAAAATCACTGCCCTTTCATCATCAGAGATGGCAGGAGAAAGTGAGATCATCTTACCAGCTGAATGAAATGTCCATGACATTCTTACCTTCCAGCTGGTACCAGGAGTACCCGTTGGTAATGCCTTCTGGGAAGGTTTGCCTGTTGTCACACCCCGTCCCTTTGTACATGCTGGCGTGGTTGGAAGAATAGGTTTTTGCCAGGTGAATAAAGACATCATCATCTGGAGATCTGCTATAGCCATTCAAAGAGCCAGTAACTGCAGAGTGAAGACAGCCATTGTGCAACTCTCATTACTGGTAAAACACACAGTGGTGGCTTACATGCAGGATAAACATCTCCCAAAAGGATATATTAAGCAGTGAATTTTGATGAGG